CGTGCCAGTTATTCAGCCAATAATGTGTAGGGCTGTATATTTCATCAAAAATTGTGTCAGTACTAATACAAATGTTAATTGGCATCTTTTTTCAAACGACCCGACCGACCGCGACCCGAATATCATTAAAAACATTTTTGGATGACCCGTAACTGCGGATCCTCATTTCGGATCAACCTGCGCATCACTGATATTTATCAATATGGCAGTCATAGGAACACTGATGTGCTTCTGATTCTGGTTTCCCATTTCCCGCACATAGCATGTAATAAACTCTAGCTGTTGTCTGCCACAATATATACCCATTGATGCTGTTTTTAACAAACTGTCAAATGATTCAGCACCAAGCCTTGTAAACAAAATGAAAAAAATAATAATTTTGCACCTGGCTTTATCATATGTTAGATCTACCAAAAATATATGCAAATTCTATATATGTGGGCGGCAGTGGCTCAGTGGTTCATGTGGGTTGTCTACGAACCGAAAGGTTGGTGGTTGACCAAGTGTCGAGGTGTCCATGAGCAAGACACCTAACCCCAGCTGCTCCCGACGAGCTGGCTGGCGCCTTGCATGGCTGACACCGCCGTCGGTGTGTGAATGAGTGTATGAATGGGTGAATGCGAGGCAAATGTAAAGCGCTTTGGTGGCCATTAGGTCTATGGAAAATCCAAGATGGCGGTATGAATGGTCTGATGTGTGTTTGTCCCCTCTATCTATACTCATTTAGTTTGCTTTTTTACTCATATATGGAGTAACTTTTTAGCGGATTCTATGATTGAGCTCTGGTTTTTTAGATGAAATAGTGTTTTATTGGATTATGGACTACTTTGCTGCAGAAAAGCTTCCATCTCCAGGCTCTACTTGGATCCTGAGGCCCTGTTAGCCTCTCTAGGCCCTGGCAGCCCAGCTACCATCTCCAGGCTCTGCTTGGATCTTGAGGCCTTGGTACAGGACCTAGCAGCCCAGCTACCATCTCCAGGCTCTGCTTGGATCTTGAGGCCTGGTAGCCTCTCCAGGACCTAGCAGCCCAGCTACCATCTCCAGGCTTTGCTTGGATCTTGAGGCCCTGGTTCAGGACCTAGCAGCCCAGCTACCATCTCCAGGCTCTGCTTGGATCTTGAGGCCTGGTAGCCTCTCCAGGACCTAGCAGCCCAGCTACCATCTCCAGGCTTTGCTTGGATCTTGAGGCCCTGGTACAGGACCTAGCAGCCCAGCTACCATCTCCAGGCTCTGCTTGGATCTTGAGGCCCTGACAGCCTCTCCAGGACCTAGCAGGTTCTGCTAGCTCCCCTAGGACATAGCAGCCCAGCTAACATCTCCATGCTCTGCGCGGATCCTGAGGCCCTGTCAGCTCCTTCGGGTTTTGCTAACATTATCTGCTAACATGGCTCTTCTTTTAGTGCTGCTTTGTTCATTGTTTGTTTAAAATCTAAGATCAGGTGATTCAAACTGGGTGAGTACATCTTACAACATTTGTGGCTCTTTGGACATAGCCTATGGATTTAACTGCTCAGTTTTTGTGCATTCCCCTCAAATGCCAAAAGAGTTGGCAGAGGACTTACATTTAGCCTGGTCTCTAGAGATATTCTTCAGCTTCGAAATCTTTTGATTTTTTAACCCTCATGTGGTGTTCGGGTCAATTTGACCCGGAGAAGATTTTCTTTTTCCTGAAAATACTAGTTAATGTTATCGCTTTGGACTGAAACTTAGTGACTTTGTTCCCAAGCGGTATAACTATATCTCATTTGTTTTTTTAAACATTTTCGTATTTTTGTGTGGGAGTTCTGTTACCTTGTTACACTTGTGGTGTTCCCGGTCAAAAATGACCGGTCTATAAAAAATAGCTTATAAATCACTCATTATACCATATTTTCACCCAATCTTGGATTCAATCTTTTTGTCAACTTGTTCTCTTTAAATTAGGACTGGTTTTACATTTCTGTTTGCATCTGATTAATCGTGGGCCTCATTTATTTGAGAGTAGGCATGGTAAAAAATGGTCACAATGGGCGACCATTGAAAGTGAATGGGAGAGACTGAAAATAACAGAACAATTAAATTTTCAGGAGCATGTTCATTATTTTCATGTACACATATGAGCATGTGTGCTTGCAAACATCAAGGCCTTGGACCTGTGCATGTATCGATACATTTATTAACACGCAACCCAGACACACACACGTTAAAACACACAAACTTTTGAGTATTACACACATTCTTTTCTACAGAGAGAAATTTGATCCTACCCTAACCTGCATCTAATATACATTTATCCATCTGACATTACCACACACACACACACACACACAAACTGGCCGTGACTGCAGTGATCCGGCTTCAAAATAATTTTTCTTTCATGTTCTTGTTTCATCACAGCTTCCAGAAAAAATATTAAGACATTTTGTTTTGGAACTGTGAGATTCTCACCATAGACAGTGGTTCTCACACAGAACTAGACAATATTTACAAATATATATCATGTGATAGCATAGCACAGGCATATATAAATGCCTCACAGCACCTTGCTTGTTATTCATTTGTGGCAGCACAATGGCAAAGCAGCTCTCTGCACATAATGTTATTCATCAGATTTTTGACTCATAAAATAGTGGGGAGGATCATTTCTCTCTGTGGAAAAGAATGTGTGTAATACTCAAAAAAGCTTGTGTTTTAACGTGTGTTTGTGTCTGGGTAGCGTGTGTATAAATGTATCGATACATGCACAGGTCCAAGGGCTCGATGTTTGCAAGCACACATGCTCATATGTGTACATGAAAATAATGAACATTCTCCTGAAAACTAAATTGTTCTGTTATTTTCAGTCTCAAAACCAGTCCTAATTGAAAGAGAACAAGTTGACAAAAAGATTGAATCCAAGATTGGGTGAAAATATGGTATAATGAGTGATTTATGAGCGAGAATTGCGATCTGAAGTAGTGAAGCTGGTGTGAGCAGATCGCAAATCTCGCGCATGCGTCGTGGAAATCTATAAGGAAGTCTCGTTCTGGCCTACAAGGAAGAAAAGAAATAGTCGAATAAACTCGTTATTTTTGTTTGTTTTTTCGCACAAAAAGTATTCGCGTCGCTTGATAAACATATAGTTGAGCCACGGTAGTCACTTGGGATATTTAAACATTTTCTTCATTGACTTTTTGGGCCGTCAAGAGGCAGTCCCTTAGGAGCCAATGTGGTAGTTATACAGCTCTCAAATTTAATCAAAAATATCTTCATTTGTGTTCCGAAGACGAACGAAGGTCTTACGGGGTTGGTACAGCATGGGGGTGAGTAATTAATGACTTAATTTTCATTTTTGGGTGAACTAACCCTTTAAGTCCTCCCTATGGTAGGCATACTGCAGCATATTCCTCCCGGGATATGCTTCCCAGTGTACCTTGGTATTCCTGTGTTAAAGTAGGACTTCTGGTTATAAGCTAAGTTGTTAGGAGTCCAGACTTTCACAGGGCACTGGAAGACAGCTGTGAAGGTGGCATGATGGCACGGACCCCCATTCTCCGTCATTCCGACGTAACTCGGAGTGACTACGAAAGGGAACGTCTCGGTTACGGATGTAACCCTCGTTCCCTGAGTAGGGAACGGAGACGTTACGTCTCCTTGCCACTTCCGCTGTACCGCTGGGTAGACGCCTGAGTTCAGTCTCGACTCCTCAACTAAGACATACTGCGGTTGCGTTCACTTCCTCCTTTTATACCCACGGGGTGGGGCAGAGATACGCTATGCAAATTCCGCAGACCCAAGGCATTTTCATGCCATTGACTCGTTTTTAAATACTCAAAGAGGATTGGCTTTCTATGTGAAACCCCCATTCTCCGTCATTCCGACGTAACGTCTCCGTTCCCTACTCAGGGAACGAGGGTTACATCCGTAACCGAGACGTTTATAGCAGCCATTTAAACATTAAAAACCGTCCCTTTCATGTTAATGTTGTTTTTTCATTGTTTACATGTTTAAATATTCTGAGAATGCACAGTTTAGTTCTAATGTTTGTTTAAACTGCAATGCATTAAAACATTCTAAATGCTTTAAAATGTTTAAATGCTTTAAAAATGTTTAAACTGCAATAAATGCATGTTTTTTTTTGGCAGCCATTTTGTTGTTATTGTTTATGCCAAAAGTGATGTTTACAACTTGTTATACGGCAGAAATGGATTCAGCACCTAAAAATCATATAGAAACAACACTTGAAGTACTTTTCCTCAAAAATGCCTGCATCTTATCCATGGCTATTTATCTATTTTGGGACTCGACTATAGAGATTCTCACAATTCCCAAATTCACAAAGTCCACAAGCAGGCATGCATGGTAGTCCATATGCCCTGCAACTGCACCGTTGTGTTCGGCAGGCAGTTGTGCAATTACAGTGGATCATCTGCAGGAGGCTTTCTGGGGCAGCAGTCTTACTGGTCATAACTAGCAGGAACTGGTTGTCCAGCAGTTTCCATCCCTAATCCACTGTGTTCATGTCACCTTCCTTTCCAATCCACACCATGATCTGGAAGTAAACTCTTTGGCAGTGGTACTTGGTTGTGGACTCGGTTGGAGGCAGACGTTCTGGGGTAACAAATGATTTGGCGGTAAAGATTTTCTTGCTAAAAAGGTTGTAACGCAAAGAGTCAAGTGAGCCCATTGATCTGCATGATTGTCCCAACACTCAAAAATGGACTCTGCGAGCATATCAGTCTGAACACTACTTATGTCTTTACTTCTACACTCACCGGCCACTTTATTAGGTACACCTGTCCAACTGCGCATTAACACTTAATTTCTAAGCAGCCAATCACATGGCAGCAACTCAGTGCATTTAGGCATGTAGACATGGTCAAGACAATCTCCTGCAGTTCAAACCGAGCATCAGTATGGGGAAGAAAGGTGATTTGAGTGACTTTGAACGTGGCATGATTGTTGGTGCCAGAAGGGCTAGTCTGAGTATTTCAGAAACTGCTAATCTACTGGGATTTTCACGCACAACCATCTCTAGGGTTTACAGAGAATGGTCCGAAAAAGAAAAAACATCCAGTGAGCGGCAGTTCTGTGGGCGGAAATGCCTTGTTGATGCCAGAGGTCAGAGGAGAATGGCCAGACTGGTTCGAGCTGATAGAAGGGCAACAGTGACTCAAATAACCACCCGTTACAACCAAGGTGGGCAGAAGAGCATCTCTGAACGCACAGTACGTCGAACTTTGAGGCAGATGGGCTACAGCAGCAGAAGACCACACCGGCGGCCACTCCTTTCAGCTAAGAACAGGAAACTGAGGCTACAATTTGCACAAGCTCATCAAAATTGGACAATAGAAGATTGGAAAAACGTTGCCTGGTCTGATGAGTCTCGATTTCTGCTGCGACATTCGGATGGTAGGGTCAGAATTTGGCGTCTACAACATGAAAGCATGGATCCATCCTGCCTTGTATCAACGGTTCAGGCTGGTGGTGGTGGTGTCATGGTGTGGGGAATATTTTCTTGGCACTCTTTGGGCCCCTTGGTACCAATTGAGCATCGTTGCAACGCCACAGCCTACCTGAGTATTGTTGCTGACCATGTCCATCTCCCTTTATGACCACAATGTACCCAACTTCTGATGGCTACTTTCAGCAGGATAATGCGCCATGTCATAAAGCTGGAATCATCTCAGACTGGTTTCTTGAACATGACAATGAGTTCGCTGTACTCAAATGGCCTCCACAGTCACCAGATCTCAATCCAATAGAGCATCTTTGGGATGTGGTGGAACGGGAGATTCGCATCATGGATGTGCGGCCGACAAATCTGCGGCAACTGTGTGATGCCATCATGTCAATATGGACCAAACTCCCTGAGGAATGCTTCCAGCACCTTGTTGAATCTATGCCACGAAGAATTGAGGCAGTTCTGAAGGCAAAATGGGGTCCAACCCGTTACTAGCATGGGGTACCTAATAAAGTGGCCGGTGAGTGTATGTGTTAGTTCCACAGAAAAGACAATCAGTTTGGCTGTTGAAAGGACCAGTTGCTACTGTGGCAGGTCTTTTTGGTGGCTCAGCTTTATTCTCTTGTTGGATTTTAATGTCTTTTTTATTTATGTACTACTGTCGACACCGTCAACATTTTGAGTGTACTTTTTCACCAGCGGAACTTCATCGTCAGCTCTTTGTACACTTGCATTGTTGATTCCATCAGCTACCTTCTGATGAGCCTCAACCACATCAGAGCCATCTCTTAAGTTTTTACAGCAAATGGGGCAAGTTTCTTGGTTTATAACAACATGACTCATGGTCAAAATTTCATTTGGAGTGTACTTTTTCCTCAAGTTAATTCAACAATGTCAATTGCTGAAAATTATGAATTTAGTTTTGTTGGGTTTGGTATAATGCCCCCTTGTATACTCAAAAACATCTATAGAGGATGCATTACATATGTATTACCATATTCAAATTGAAATTAGTGACCTTTTTACGGGGTTCACACACAGGCCTCTGTTCAGGCTAATACAGAGTTTTTTTTATGATCAGAGTTATACAAATCCAATTTAATTTACTTTTGAGTGCAATAATTTTTACATTGAATGCCAAATCTTTGTTTTAGCAAAAAAGGTTATGTGTCCAAAAACACGTACTAAGTGGGAGTAACATGGCAGGCTAAATCGTGAACATCTCTGGTTCACCCCAAAAAAAGATATAATCCTTACAGTAATCTCACAAACTCATATATTCCATAAGTTTATAATCATGTCAGTGCAATTTAGACAAGTCCAATGGATTCATAGACTCAGAAAAATGGGGTTAGACACCAATATTACTTTGCTAAGTCAAATAATGAAGGAAGTAGGATATTTTAAAGGTTTAGTTCGCCCATTTAAGACATGAAGTTGTATGCAATCCTTACCAGCACTATAGTGCATACACACTGACCCACTCTGTTGTCACCCCCCTGGTCACAGTTCTGACCGCTGGAAGTTTTTTAATTAAGTACTCCCGGTTATTTTCCAGGGCCACAAAACTGCGTTTTTATGTGAAAAAATTATTTGCGTTTCAAAGCTTGATTAATTTACCACACAAAAAACACACCGGTCAAAATTCATACCTCAGTTTTAATGCAGCATATTTTCTATCCATTTCTATCAATCCGCACTGCCTCAACGTCAACAGTGAGCACGTTACGATCAGCTGTTGATAGCACGCGACTCGCTGACAACATGTCTGACTGCGAAACTTATGATGATGAAAGTAATTTTAGCACAACGACAAAGGGATAACTTTATGAACCGGAGTATACCGATGCCGAACTAGCAGAAGGAGATAGAACGGGAAGAGAGAGAGCGAGAGGACAGAGATGAGTTGTCCAAGTTGATGCTGGGCCCACAGCTGTAGCAAGAGCCAGGATAAACAACAAATGGTGGTGCACTTGTTCAAATTGTCAAGTTATGCCAACAGAGGTTGAAAGCTATTGCTGCCACAAATGCAAAATCTATCAATTGATGAGGAGGCCAACTGTCTGAATTAGCAATGACATTTTCCCTGCAATGCTAAATGCAGGTGTCCTGGAGACGTTCTTCTTCGTACCTAAACTCAATTGGAAAAAGCGACCCAAACCAGCTGGACTTGACGGTCAGATGTCGGCTGAGTAAGTGTGATCTCTCATGTTGCTTTGTAGTTTTTTATTTAAGAAATTTGACCAGTTGGCTATATAATGGTCTATCTGACTGCATTATTATTATTATACTGAGTGGACAGTAATACAATTATTAATAAATTAATTATTAATTTTATTACTGTCTTGACACCAAATGTCTCATCAGCTTGTTTACCGTACAGTTTAGACATGGGATCATAAAGTTAGCTTAACCGTGGTACTGGTAGCAAACAGCAAAACTCTTTAAAATCTTTTTTTTTTCTTTTTCTTTTCCTCCTTGGTTGGGGATGTAATCGTCTTCGCTGAAGTGAGCACACACACGAAAATCCTTTATTCTGGATATTTTAGCTCCAGCAGAGTAGCCGATGGCAACCAGCCAAAGCTGTCTCATAGTTATATTAGAAACAGGAAAACGATGGAATCTGAACTTTGATCACGGCACATCCTTGTGGTCACAGCCTGGGAATTTACAAGTACGCACCATTGTTAATTTAATACTTTTTACCTAGTTGTCAATCGATTGTGTAAACACCATGGAACAGCTGATCGTAACGTGCTCACATTTTTTCACGTAAAAACGCAGTTTTTTGGCCCCGGAAAATAGCTGGGAGTACTTCATTGAAAAACTTCCAGCGGTCAGAACTCTGACCAGGGGGGTCACAACAGAGTGGGTCAGTGTGTATGCACTATAGTACTGGTAAGGATTGTATACAACTTCATGTCTTAAATGGGCGAACTAGCCCTTTAAGGGCTTCTTCCCCATCTTCCGACATCTTGAAAATTACACCTTTCTAGTGGTCAAACTTTGGTATGCTATTTATGATTCAGACCGACTGTACACTCATGGAACACACACACACACACACACACACACACACACTTGGACGACTGTGTAATGGGTCTCATATTCACAAGTAAATGTTTATTGAACTGGAACGGTAAAAACTGACATCATGTGCGTGTCCGCTGGGAACGAGTCCGTCTTCAGAAGTCATGATAATGTAGAAGCCTAGAGAAAAAAACACACACATACACACACTTACTAAACATCTGGATCACACGTGACAGCAGGAACATCAGTGTTATCAGATATAATAATTCACTCGTTCTCTCCATCCACTCCAATTCTCTCCATCCATTGTGAACTGGATTTTATCCAGTGTCTGATCCCAGACTGAAGTTTTCTCTGCACAACGCTTCTGTTCTCGCATAACATGCATCTAAAGATGCCAAAATGTGTTTTATGTTGATCTATAAATGCATTTTAAAATAGAGTGAAGTTAATGGAGTTATTCTGAATTTGAAAAATAGCTTCTGAATGCCGAGCTATTCAGCTGTACACACACACACCTGAAGAGCAGCGCGTGGCCTTTATTGTTGGCCACGGAGTAGAAGCCACTCCTCGGGGAGAAGTCCACACTCTGGGTCTGAAAGATCATCTTCTTCTGGAATTTTGGGAAGTTGGAGAACACCGTGAAACTGGGGAGGTGCACCTAGAGCAGAAACAGCAGAAACGTCTCTGGTTACTTACATAACCTATGTTCTCTGAATAGGGAACGAGACGCTGCGGAAGCGCAGTGGGATATTCTCTGAATGTGCCGATTGCCTGAAGCCCTATATAATCACGCCAATTCATTGGCCGATGGCGCTCGCGCAATCTGGCCCCGCCCTGACGCAATCACGTCGCATACCTCATTTACGCGCGTGTGCCATCCTCCCCTCAGATTTCTCTGCCGAAAAGAAGAGACTGTCAGCAGCACAAGGAGCTTGGCCGCAAACGCAGTGTCTTGTTCCCTATTCAGAGAACATAGGTTATGTAAGTAACCAGAGACGTTCTCTTTCATAGGTTCACTCAACTCTGCGGAAGCGCAGTGGGAACGGGATACCAAACTTGCCGAGCAAAGAGCGCTGTCATGGCTGGTATCAATAGAATAAGACTATAAACGGTTTAAACAGAAGAACCTGGCAACCCGGAGTCATATCAAGATACAAAATGTAGAGTCGTACAAAAGTGTGCGGAGAGGACCAGCCGGCCGCAACAAAAATGTCCTCCAAAAGAGCTCCTCTAAAAAAGCTTGAGAGGATGCCAGACTTCTAGTGGAATGTGCTCTAATGCTAAGAGGTGAAGGCAACCACGCACCTCGTAAGCCATAGAGATCGCTTCTGTGATCCAGTGAGAAATCCTCTGCTTTGACGCAGCAAGCCCGCGGCGGCTAGCACCAAAACAAACCAGAAGCTGGTTAGATTTTCTCCGACTGCTGGAGCGGTCTACATAAAACTTCAAAGACCGTACTGGGCAGAGCAGATTAAGCTTCCTATCCTCAGAAGAAGAAAGAGGAGGAGGGAGGAAAGCGTTAAGGCTAACAACCTGAGAGCGGAACGCTGTGGAGAGAACCTTAGGAACATAGCCTGGCCTGGGTATCAAGGAAACTTTGACTAAACCAGGAGCGAAGTCCAAGCATGGCTCGCTAACAGAAAGCCCCTACCTGCTTCAAAGAAGATAAAGCCAACAAAAGTGAAACCTTAAGAGTCAGAATCCAATCCTGAGCTGACTCCAAGGGTTCGAAGGGGGCCTCCTTTAAACCTTCCAAGACGACAGAAAGGTCCCATGAGGGAACTCTAGGGGAGCGAACTGGTTTCAGGCGCCTAACCCCACGCATGAAGGCCGAAACTAACCTCAGTTTACCCAGGGGAATCTCGTCTGATTCTCTATGTGTTGCAATAGCTGCAACGTAGACTCTGAGGGTGGTAGCAGCCGACCCGGAGGTAAACTTCTCCTGTAGGAATTCCAGTACTGAAGCGACAGGGCAGTTAACTGGGTTCCTATCATGTGCCAAGCACCATGTCACGAAAACCTTCCATTTGTAAGAATACAGTCTCCTTGTATAAAGGGCTCTAGCACTAGCGAGGGTCTCCTGAACGTTAGTTGGGAGATCAAAGCCTAATGCCGACGGCCTCTGATCGGCCAAACGTACAGCTTCCACATGTCTGGGCGAGGATGCCAAATCCTGCCCTGAAATTGGGAAAGCAAATCCTCTCTGACTGGAATCCTCCAGGGGGACGATTCCAGCAGAGGAATCAACTCCGAAAACCATGGCTGACACGGCCAGAACGGGGCTACTAGAAGGAGGCGGACTCCGCTCTCCCTCACTCTGGCCAGGACCGCCTGTATCAGTTTGATGGGAGGGAAGGCGTAGAGTTTCTGCATTGGCCAAGGGTGGGCGAATGCATCTATCCCAAACGGAGCTGGATGATTCAGGGAGAACCAGAGGTGGCATTGGGATGACTCCTGCAAGGCAAAGAGGTCCACTCCCGCTTTCCCGAACACCTCCCAGATCAGGGCCACTGTCTGACGGTTCAACATCCATTCCCCCAATTGGAGTTTCTGCCTCGATAGGACATGACCTGCTCTCAGAGAAAGGAACCTGCTCTGAAGCCATTAGAGAAGATGACGTGCATGCCTGTCCAGGGTGCGAGATCAAGAACCCCCTTGCCGGTTTACATGGGAAACTACCACCATGTTGTCTGTACTGACAATGACATGGTGCCCCTTCAGAAAAGGGAGAAAAAGATGTAAAGCCAGAAAGACGGCTCTCAGCTCCAAGCAGTTTATGTGCCAAGCGAGGGTCTCGCCCGTTCAGACCCCACACGCTGGTCTGCCCTTGAAAACTAGAGAGGCATTTGTCATAATCAACTGGCGATGGAATACCATACTCATGCTGACCCCTTTTCGAAGAAAAAGGGGGTCCCGCCAAATTGACAGGGCGCGAGAGCAACTGTGCGACACCCTCAACAGATGAAGGGCTGGCCCAGTGGGCCGGATCCCTGAGAGCTTCATTCACCAAAGGAAAGGCCTCATGTGGAGCAGACCCAGGGGTAGCACAGGGGAGGCTGCGGCCATTAAACCCAGAAGTCTGCGGCAAGTGCCCACAGAAACACGATGGCCTAGCGAGAAATGGGCCAAACATGTCAAATTGGAAATCCATGCAAGAGCCAAGCGAGCCTGCATAAGAACGGAATCTATGTGCACCCCCAAGAAAAATGTGTGCTGAGCTGGAGTAAGAACACTTCTCCACGTTCAAGCTAAGACCGAGAGACTGAATATGGCGCAGAACACTGTCCCTGTGGTGGGTTGCATCCTTCAGGTCTATAGTCACAAACCAGACCCCTGCTCGAATTTGAGAGATGATAGCTTAGAGCGTCAACATCTTGTATTTCCCCATGTAGAGACAAAAATTCAGTCGGCGCAGGGCCAATATTGGACGCAGACCTCCGCCCTTTTGGGTACCAGGAAGTAACGACTTAAGAGGCCCTGCTCGATCTCCTCCGGAGGAATCTCCTCTATGGCTCCTTAGAGGCTTCTGTTCTACAGCAGGAAATTTCCTCCCTTTTACTCAGAGGCGCTGTTGACTACAGTAGGGCAGACTCTGTTGAAGAAGGGGGGGCGGGTGACAGAACTGAAGTGTGTAGCCGAGCCGAGAGAGAGGAGGCAGTTGACGTCCTGACACGTGGAGCGGAACACCATTGCCCGATTGGCAAAAACCAACGGGTCCATCTTCTGCTGAGAGAAAACGAAAGTGTCTCCTGCGCGAGCGAAAGGAATCGGGTGAGTCGAGAGGGAGGGGAGAAAGCCGAGCGTGTCTCCTTCCTCCTGCTCCAGACGGTTTGGATACTGTTGAGGGGTGGCTGCACTTCGGGACACGCAGGGTGGTGAAAGTGACCGGTTTAGAAAAGGAGAGTGAGTGGGAGGTGGGCAGAAACGCCTGCACATCTGCCCATCGAGAGAAGCTCCCCTTTTTCTGACTTGCGGGTCGGGAACGATTAGAGGAGGCCTGAGCGAAGGGTTTGTTAGACCGCTTCAGCTCAAGGCGCTTATAGGGCCGCTGGCGAGGGAACGGGCGACCACAGGCTCCCCAGACCATAGCGGGTGGGGGATGAGCCGAGTCACTTCTCCTGACGACGGGGAGAAGCGTGTGCTCAACCGATGGAATGGCGGAATAACCCTGCTCCACAGAACCAACAAGGTTGGTGAAGTCAGCGGCTGCCGCATTAAGCTGCGTTCACACTGCACGCGGCCAAGCGACACGATACCATTCATTTTCAATGGTGAGCGGGCGACTTCTGGCGACGGGCGTGTCCAGCGACAAGTTGAGAAATCTTTAACTTTATGCAAATGAAGAGTGATTTTCGCGAGCGACACCCAATAGGAGTAAAGTCAGTGGAGCGCGTCACTCTTCAGTGCCGAGTCTGACCAATGCAAGTTGAACGAGAAGCTCATTTTAGCAGTCAGAAAACTGTCCTATAATGTATGATATATCGCTGTGTACATACAGTTCACCGTACTGACTCCATGACTGAATGGTCTTGAGAACCCAGATAGACCAGTATTTGCCCGTTTGCTGCAGTTAACTAGCCGCGATGACAAAGAACACTCATTGTTTCTCCTTCATCTTTAATATTATATATTTATTTATTATTTTTTTTTTTGCATTTTATGTACTGGTTCCAATTATATTTAGACTTTTCTTTCCAAAATATTTGTTAGTAGCGGCAATAAAACGTATTTGTTGTCTAGCATAGAGTAACTTCCGTGAATGTCACTCACAAACATTACTAGGCAACCAGTAGAGGACTGAGACTCGCGGGGCTCGTCAGACCAGTCGATAGAGTTTCTCGGTAACGGGAGAACCAGAGCGGGCATTGGGATTAGACAGGAGAGCATCCGAAGCTAAAACAGGCCCGAAATCCTCGGAGTCGGAAGCCGTGGTATAAATAATGTCTTCTAGCCCGAAAGAATACTGATTCACATGCTCTCGGGCTGGGACATAGAAAATCATGCAAGAATTTGACTGGTTTGGCACCGCGTGCGTGCTCGGGAGACGGAGGGAGAGAAAGGGCATGGCCCGTCTGCTCAAACTCCATATCCTAGAGCTCAGTGAGGACGAGGGGGGACGAATGACTCCTTCTCAAACAACGCGAATGGAGAGTTTGAGAAGGAGGTTATCACAAAATTGCATTTTGAAGTCCTAAAATAAACTCGCAAGCATGCGAAACACCCAAACACTTACTGTGCGGGTCGTTGTTCGCGATGAAGCGAACGCATGGCGGCGGGCAACGACGATACTCCATGGCACTTCACCACAAGGAGAACAGGGTTCCACTGAAAGCAGTCGCTGAAGTGCAAATGAAGAACAGGTGAAATCCGTCGAAATAATCCGTTAATACGGGCTCAGAAAAACCGAAGTCGAAGGGCGAAATGGCCGCTTCGTGAAGGCAGAGAAATCTGAGGGGAGGATGGCGCACGCGCGTATATGAGGTATGCGATGTGATTGCGTAGGGGTGAGGCCAGATTGCGCGAGCGCCATCGGCCAATGAATTGGCGTGATAATATAGGGCTTCAGGCAATCGGCACATTCAGAGAATATCCCACAACGCTTCCGCAGCGTTGAGTGAACCTATGAAAGAGAACACCAGTTACTCCCATTACCCCCGT